CCTGCTAGGTATTTAAAATGTTTTAAATTTAATGTGCTTTGAAGAGAATAAGAGTTTGTGGAGTGCTTAGCTCTAAACAGGACCTCTTTATCACACCGTTGCCCCCTGAGGCTCAGGAATCATCATAAAAGAGTGGGAGGAAAGAGGGTTAAGAGCCAGAAGGAGTATGCCTGGTGAACATGGAACAGTGTTTGCCAGAGATAACAGTAGCTGAGAACATTCACAAGACCTGCAGAAGATCAAGTCAGCCCAAATCCCAGCATGGAGCAGAGAGGCGCTCATGAAGTCTCGCCTCTAGCCGAGGAGTTATTGACAACTGATGACTGCTAGAGGACCTCTTTTCAGAGACATGGCCTGTGAGGCTACCCATGCTCCAGTAGATGGACCCACATCACATCCACGTGCATACAGAGAGCATTAAGTGGCTTTTAAGAAAAGAGCACATGAAATTGGAAGAGAAAAGCTGGGGGGATAGAGAGAAATTGGGAGGAAGGGATTGGGGTGAATTTTTATCAAAACACATGCATGCATGAAATTCTCAAACAAAAATCTTAAAAGAAATTAGTCTGCTTTTGAAAGCCTTTGATGGCGTAGGCTGTGAAGTGAGATTTCTCACTCAGTTCAGGTGCCGGATACACATCCTGGGTTGCTTTTGTCAAATACTTCTCTTCTGCTTCCTGGGCAGGGGACCTGAGTTACACCAACCTACCCAAGCCTTCCTGTAATTTCATGAAGCTGAGAGGTGCATCTGAAACGTTGTTTCTGTGAGTCCTCTGCTGTTCTCGGGTGGAGTCACCTCCCAGCCCTCTATATTTTCTGTTTTCCTCCTGATGGAGCTTGAGTGGGCCTCTGACCCAAAGCCAAGAACTAGCTCCAAGGTGATTGGTAAGGCTGGTGGGGCAATGTGAACACAGACACTCACACACTCTTGTGAGACGTATTCAGTTATGTACTGCAGTGTGTGCTCTTGGTAGTCAAGAGAGGCTTAACCTCTGTCTTTGCTGTTTCATTCCTTCTCAGACTGTTAAAAACCCAGGTGTTCTATTGGTTGTCCTCAAATACCCCAGCATGAGACATCAGCCTCATCAGTAGACAAGAAACAGCTTCAAGAAAACAGTAATCCCTGAAGCTCCCACTGTTGAGTACAAAAGATCTCCTTTGCAGCCTGAGTTTTTTTCTGTTTTTAATTTATGCCTGCCTCTATTGAGATGTAGTTCACGTTAACATAAAGTCCACATCTTCATGATGTATAATTTAGTTTTTAGCATGCTTAGAAATCAGTTACACTTTCAGAACACTTCCACGGGACCCCAGAAAAATTCTTTATCCATGAGAAGTCAGTTCCTGTGGACCCCTCTCTCCAGTCATGACAACCATGAGTCTACTTCCTGTATTTAGCAATTTGTCTACTTTGAACATTTCATGTGTATTTTTTATAATACATGAAGGTGCTGGGAAACAGAAGGTCTTGAAGAGGAAATGATAATCATTTCATGAGTTAAATGAGCATTTCTCATCCAGTAAATTGAATATTAACTCAAGAGTTACCTCAGCCACCCTATCAGCCACACTTTGTATTACTTTTTCAGACTTTTAACTTAATGACCATTTTTATTATAGCACCTGAATTTTTAAGCATTAAGGAATAGCCTTTGTTAGATGGTGGGGTTTTGCCATATTTATGCTTAAGGAAAAAAAAAGGTATATTTGCTTTTCCTACTTTAGGACAGTCAACCATTATGTTAATCACTGTAAATCTTA